GGACGAGACAATTTAGCCGGCCAATTTCAGTGTTACTAATCCGGCTCCAAGTATCAAAATTAGAACATGAAAGAAACAATAGATCAGTGGGTAATAAAAGGGGGCTTTTTGAAAAAGGGATTTCTTAACAATAAAAAATGAGAATCTTGAAAATTCACATTTCATAATTAAAAATCAACATGTTGAAATAATATCTCTATGATAGTAACATGTATGTGATTCAAAGCTACAAATATACTTGAATTTGATTACTATTGTGAACTTTCAATTTTGTACATACAAACGAGACAGACTTGTGAGCATGCTCTATTGATCAAATATTATTTCCGAAAAGATCTCTATAATGTACATAGTCATAGAAAGAGTACCATATAATTCCTTGACTTCAAATCACATTTTTAGTCATGTTCATAGTATCATAGTTTTGGTAAGAGAGAATCAAAGTTGATTTACCAATGAATGACAAAATGATATGGTTCTTATAGAATTGAGGAGAAAATTTTAGGTATAAGATAAGTCGATTAACAATTGAGTGAGAGAAAATTATCTATCTCATGTGTAATGATTTCAGGAAATAGAGTTTAAAAAATAATGTCAAACTTGCTAAATAAAGTCACATATACATTATATGCATTACCTTCCTTAAAGTAGTATTTTTAGAGGTCGGGCATATCATTTTTTTAAACAATGTCCATAATGTAATAAAAGATCACACAATTAGTAGGACGAGAAATTTTACATGTGAATCGATCAAATCAAAAGTTCATACTATTCATAACGTTCGTTTGGTAAAACTGAAATTGACTAGATCGGTTGTTCCGCTGAAATATAATTTATGAAGTTTTGGCTAAAATGACTTGTTTGCTAATTATGTTGTTTATGGAAAATTATATTTAAAATGTACAAGGACACCAAACGGGCTCATAATAATAAACCTATAAAGCAGAAGTTCTTCCATTTGTTAAGATATACTTCGTACTCGGTATGAACAAAAAAATCAAAGTCTTAACAATCTAACATTATAAAGTAAATTAAAAACGGAATTATGTAATTAAGTAATGAGGATGTGGAAGATCAGGAACAACACTTACATCAAATAATTTTTAGAGGAAACTGAATGGTGCATAACCTCTCGGCGTGCAAGAATTGACCGCTTTTTTGAAATGCTATCGAGGGCTGATAAGGTGTTGATGTGCTCGATTGTGGGAAAGACGGGAATTTTCTCTCTCATATATAGTGCTCTTTGGTATACGGTAAGATAATCCGGCTAAGAATTGAGCACAATCATTTTCTCTCTCATACATAGTGCTTTTATATATAAGCTCAGTCGTCTAACACTCGAGCGAGAAACTTTTCTCTCTCATATTTAGTACTTTTATGTATTGTTACTACGAAGTAGAAGATAAGCTTGGGAACAATTGAGCGGGAGAAATTTTTCTCTCATATGTAGTTCTTTTAAGTATAAGATAAGATAATTAGACAAACGATTGAGCGGAAGAATTTTCTCTATCATATATAGTGCTTTTAGGTAATATAAGTCTGCTGACAATTGAGCGGAAAATTTTTCTCTTTCACATGTAGCGCTTTTAAGTATTATACTACGGAGTAGAAGATAAACTTGCTAACAATTGAATTGGGAAATTTCTCTCATATGTATTGCTTTTAGGTATTACAGAAGTCAGCTGACAATTGAGCGACATAATTTTCTCTCTCATATGTAGTGTTTTTAAGTATTATATTATGAGCGATTTCCCAAAATAGGACCACACAGGGTCTGAAATTCCAAAATATGGCTATTATGTTTTTCTTCCCAAAATAGGACTAAGATGACATTATTTACCGTTATCTTTTGGACATGACTGCCAAATAGTTGCAGTACTATGCATTCAACATGACAGTATTTATTATAATTAATGACAATATTTTTCAATCATGACAGCAACAACTCTTATTTCAGAAAGAATAACATAGTGGTCTTATTTTGGAATTCCCAAAGTTGTTTACTCCTATTTAGAGCAATTTCCCTATTATTATTACGAAGTACAATTGAATGGAGAACTTTCTCTCTCATGTGTAGTTCTTTTAAGTATAATATATGAGATAAGTTGACTAATAATTGAGCGGGAGAATTTTATCTCTCATATGTAGTGGTTTTAGCCTTTTAATTATACGAAGATAATCTTGCTAATAATTGAGCGAAATAATTTCTTTCTCTCTCTCATATGTATCTACTAGATACTAGAAGATAAACTTGCAAACAGTTGAGTAGGGAAATTGAGCAGGAGAGTTTTTCTCTCACATGTAGATACTAAAATTGACCGACGATAAAGTTAAATGATCCATGTGAAAACTCAGATTATTTTTAGTAAAAAAAAATTACATATTCAGAAACTACATTAAACCCGCTACAAAGCCTGCAAAAAATAATTCAACTTTTATAAAATTTTGATATAAAAAGTAAGAGTTTAAGAGTGATTTAAGTTGACCCTCGATAAGCGAAATGAAACTTCTTTTAGGGACAGAGGGAGTAATGTTTTTCTTTAAAGTGTTAAAACTGTTTCATTTTTAATCCAATTTCTACAAAAAAAAATAAATCAAAACTCATAATTTTTTGTGATCTTACATATGAGATCAATTTTGAATATATCAAAATATAATTTATTAACAATCTCTATAATTATGCTTAAAATTCAGATAATGTTTTTCTTTATTTAATTAATAAAAGTAATTTAAATTAAATGTATCCATACACCAGAAGATTCAACTAATTCAACCTCTTCTCTCAGAATTTCATCCATTTCAACAGTTTCAACTAATTTCAGTACTTCTAAACGGTCTTTAAAATTAAAATCAGACCATGGAAGGAAAAATATAAAAATATTAAAATTTATTTAAGAAAACTTTCTTAAAGTATTTTATAATTTGATGTGCACTGGTTTGATATATGAAAAATCCGCAAATGAAAATCTAATTAGTTCTAATAATAAAATTTAAGTTGGTCTATTTTTTTCTGTTTTGAGTTGGTCTAAATGGAAGACAATAAATGATTTGAATTCTTCAACACTACGATTAATAAAACTCTAATGTTATTTTCATTTTCTATTATACTCCCTTCATTAAACTATAAAACTATTACAAACCATATTTCTTCCTGTTATAATGTCACTCGAGAATATATAAAATTAGCAAATTGAAATGATAAACACATCGAGTGCTAATAAAACAAAACTTCTAAATTTATTTCAATTTATTATTCTTTATGTTTAAGGAAAAAGGGGCAAATATGAAAATATATATTCATCATTTTTGGTTTTTTTTAAGTGCTTTGATCTATTTAAGTTTAATTTTATAAAAAAAATTGACTTATTTGGCTGAAATTACTGTACATAATAATTTTTAACCACTTTTCCTATAATCTTTTATTTACTTCATTAATAATATATAATTTGAACTAAATTCATCCATAAATCAAAAGAATCAATTTCAATCAATTCAGTCACTTCTGTCAAAATTTCAAGGAATTAGGTGAATAGTAAATGTAACACTGAGTGAGGTTACAACTTTAAGGATGCGGGATAGTTTTCTCTCTTATATATAATGTTTTTAGGTACAAGATAAGTTGGATGAGAACTGAGCGGAATAAGTTTCTCTCTCATTTGTAGTGTTTTTAAGTATAAGATAAGTCGACTAACAATTGAGCGGCCAAAATTTCGCTATCATATGTAATGTTTTTAGGTATAAGATAAGTTGGCTAACACTTGAGCGGGATAACTTTGTCTCTCATTTGTAGTGCTTTTCAGTAAGATAGTAATATAAGTCAACTAACAATCGAGCGGAAAAATTTGTTCTTTCATATGTGGTGCTTTTAGGTATAAGAAAGATTAAGCCATAAATCGTCTTAACAATTGAACAAGATATTTCCCTCTCTCTCAATAAGCAATTATTTTAACTATAACATAATCCAACTAACAATTGAGAGAGAGGATTTTTTGTATCATATATAGTGCTTTTGGGTATAAGACAAGCCGGCTAACAATTGTGCGAGAGAATTTTCTATCTCATATGTACTACTTTTAGTTATTAGAAGATAAACTTGTTAACAATTGAGCGAAAGAACTTTATCTCTCATATATATTTCTCTTAGGTATAAAATAATCCAGCTAACAACTGAACGAAATAATTTCTCTCCCTCATATGTAGTGTTTTTAGGTATGAGGTAATCCAGCTAACAATTGAGCTAAACTTTCTCTCTCATATGTAAGAGTTTTAGATATAAAAAAAAAAAGATAAGCTTACTAATAATTGAGCGAGATCAGAAAATTTTTTCATTCATATGTAGTGTGTTTAGGTATTAGAAGATAAGATTGCTAACAATTGAGAAGGAGAATTGAGCGGGAGAATTTTATTGCTCATATGTAGTGTTTTTAGGTATTACATAGTAGAAGATAAGCTTGCTAACCATTGAGAGGAATAACTTTCTCCCTCATATGTAGTTCTGAGTATAAGATAAGAAGACTAAACAATTGAGCAAGATAACTTTCTCTCTCATATGTAGTATTTTTAGGCATAAGAAGCTAAGAAGATAAACTTGCTAGCAATTGAGTGAGAGAACTTTCACTCTTACGGGTAGTTCTTAAGTACTCCGTATATAAAATAATCCAGCTAACCGTTGAGCGTGAAAATTTACCCTTCCATATGTAGTGCTTTTAGGTATAACATAAGTCGACTAATAATTGAACGAGAAAACTTTCTCTCTCATATGTAGTCTATTTAGATATGACAAGATAAGCTTGCTTGCTAATAATTAAGTGAAAATTTTCTCTCTCATATATAGTGCTTTTAGTTATAAGAAGCTAGATAAAGTTGCTAACAATTGAGCGAGGATATCATCTTTTTTTTTTTTTTTTTTTTTGCAAAATTAATATTTTATTCAAGAAAGAGAAAAAAAATTACAGAGAATAAAAGGGAAAAAAAGACAAAACAAAAAGAAGAGAGAGTAAACCCAACCCAAAATACAACAAGTCCCTCCCTAGTAATCTCGAGCAAGCATTAAGCATTTAAATCCGCTCGTGTTTGAGATCTAGTTCTCATAAGATGTGAGCGCTGATTTTTCTTCCTGTACGTTTTGATTTGAGTGTTCAAATTCTCTGTAGGCAAGCAGTTTTCTCTCGTTACCAATAGAGCTTTATCACAAATTTCTTGATTTGCATTGGAATCCCATAGATCTTCCATAGTGGAAATAGGAGCTCTCTTTTCGTTTTCAGAAACATGACCCAGAAATTCATCACTTGAGTATGTAAGAAATGGATCGCTATAAACTCCCTCACCCTCACTAGAAAGCTGATAGCCTGCAAAGACGTCCCTTGCGATATTGATCTCCGGATTTGCATATCTAATAGCAGCCCCTTCTTCTTTATGTCCCATGTTTTGATTACCCAAAGAAGTAGCTAGGATTCTTTCAAATTCTTTTAGTAGAAATTGAGAAAGAGAATCCACTCCATTTGTCATAATATTTTGAAAGAAATCCTTGAGATTCTCTAATGAAGCATCATGGCTAGGAGTTTGTTCAGAGCTATTAGTGTCCTTGATAGGAGTCATCTCCAAAGAATTATCAATATCAACTTGAAGCAAAGTTCTCGAGATAGAAAATGACGTGCTGCAAGAATGATCCTCACTCCACAGTTGCGTGAGAAGATTCTGCTCATTAGTGCTTGCGTGACTTAACTCACCTACAACCTGTTCAACATTCAGAATTGGTGCAGCCACTTTCACTTTCATCAAGTTAATTGCTTTTGCAATCCCTGCCATAAAATGAAGAATCCCTCGACCATTTCTCCCTTCTGGGATAAATAAAGAGTTTCGTCCCTTCTCAATTATACGAACAAATCCCCCAAAGAAATTAGCGTTGTAAAGGATGTAAATGGAATTCTTCAGCTCTAAATTTTTAGAGCAAATTCCAGAAAGAAGTTTGGGAATGGAGTCATTCAACCAATTCATCCTTTCGAGATCAAGAACAATTTTAGAAGTAATCCCATGTTTAGTCTCCGAAATACGAATAGCATTGCAATCTATGATGTTGAAACAAAAACGTTTGCTTTTAATATAAAAATCAAACCCATCTTTGTATTGCCTGAAATTGTTAATGGTGTCTTGTGAAGAAACTTTCCATCCTCGTTTTGGTTGATAGCTGCCCTTGGTGTTAAATCTACCGTTTCTCATTTCTGGAAGCCCATAGTTTGGTTTGTCCTGACTCGTTCCTCTATTGCCGTTTCTCAAGTCGAGCCCTCGGTGCTCCCAGTCGGATGAGCCCCTCAAACGCCAAGGTCTGCCATGAATCACAGGTCTTCGCCGCTGGAATGTCGTGGCCTCTCCAGACTGAGCTCTCGGCCTCTTAGGATCATCTTCTCGCCAGGATCTGAACTTGACTCTCCACCAATCATCCTGTCCCTCTGGCCGTCGTTGGATCTTTAGTCGTCGATTGGGATGTGAATCCCGTTTAGTGTCCCAGATCTGCTGCCTATTCCCTGCAACTTTAACAACGAAAGATCCAAATCGAAGAGTAGAGCTTGGAGAAGACCCTCGATTATCGCCTGAAGAGTTTCCATTAGCTTTGAAGAGTTTCTGAGCGGCTGGATTGCCTTGTATGGATGTTGCGCCTTTCTCCCCTTGCTTTTCTGATGCTGCTGCTGCAATGCTACTGGCGACGGCGCCAGAAGCGGCGCCGGAATCTCCTAGAATCGCCAGAGCTCCCCAATGATATCATCATATATGTAGTTCTTTGTGGTATTAGATAAGTCGGCTAACAATTAAAGAACATATTTGTTTCTCTCACACATAGTGCTTTTAGGTATAAGGTAAGATAATAAGGCTAACAATTGAGTGAAAGATTTTTTTCTCATATGTAATTGTTTTAGATATGACAAGATAAGCCAACTAAGAATTGAGCAGAATAATTTTCTCTCACATATGTTAGCACGAATTTACTAATGAATGGAGTTATTATTTAACTAATATTCATTGATTTTAATATTTATTGTACTCACTTTTTTAGAATTATTATTTAATTTTAAAATCAATCTAATCATGGAAATGAATAAGCAGCAAATTCTAATGAGTAGTGTCAATTAATTTTTCCTAATATACTCTTCATTGAATATATATTTTAAGGTATTAGCTGATTGAATTACAATTTTTTTCAAAAATGTAGAATCCTAAAAAGTTGTTTCTATTTTAATATTTAATTAGATCATGAGTAAAAAAATATATGCACCAACCGCTCTATCCCGTGCGTATGCACGGGTACTATACTAGTTGTTTGAGAAAATGGTAAAATGACCAAAGCAATGGCCAAATTGGCACATTTATTGTTTACTATTAAGAAATATATTGTTTGCAAACTAATGTGCAAATTTCTTTTCGATTATGAGTGTGGCTATCTGCAATTACGAAGAAACAGAGTGACTTATATTTGTGAAATGTCAAACCAATTAATTAGAGAAATCCAAGTCTATGAGGCCTTTCATGAACATGACATTGGTAATTAGAAGATGATATCTTAATATTTTATAGTCATGCCTTGTACATAATTGAATATCATGGATTCATGGAGATTTATAACTCTGCCCAGGGCCGTCCGTCGTTAGGACTATGGAGGCTCTAGACGGAAATATATTCAAAGAGTGCTTATGATTGCTTCTATTTTAAAAATGCTTTTCAAAGAAATTTTAGAAAATGTACTCAATAGTAAAAACTGATAATATTTGAAAATCAATGTTTTTTGAAAAGTAAAAGTTGATAATGGTAATAAAAAAATGTTCTTGTATAATAGGAAAATTGTGTTTGTATAATAGAAAAAATGAAAAACCGCTTAGAACACTTTTCCACCAACTTTCATTTTTTAGCTTTTAAATTCTTAACTAAAGCGGAAACCGCCGCTTGAAAACTCATTTGAGTTTTAAATGCCAAAGGTGGAAAGCACTATTTATAAATTTTGCAAGCACTCCCTTAATATTGATATATCATATCATCATTTTTATGTAATTTATGTAACACCAAAGTCATACAAAAATTAATATCTGATAAATTTAGTAAAAACACACAATTTGATAAATGAAGGGAAATTTACCAGGATATGAGTAAAGCTCAATGAGTTTACCAATGTATGACCTAACTAGTTTTTATACCTTTCTATGACCAAAAATCCAAAAACAAATAGAAAATTCGTTTATATTTAAATGTTGAATGACGAAAATACCCTTATTTAAAATATGTGCATTTTGCACTAATTTTGTCCAATTAAAATTACAGCATTTTATATTGTTGTTAATGCACAGAATTAATGCATGACTTTACTGCACATCCAGTAATAATCATTGCACTTCCTCTAAAATTAATTTTCTTCTTATTCAATTGAGGATTTTTTTTTAAAATTTAATAATTTTATTATTATTTTACGTCTAATTAAGTATATTGCATTTCATCATGATGTCACTACTTTGTGTTAATGCAATACTAGTTATAAATACTGCACAACCAAATTTCTTAATGCATTCGTTCACTGCTATGTGCGCCCATGTATAGTACGGAGCATTATTTACTTTCCATATTCAACGCATAATACTGCCATGTATAATTCGTAGTAATACTCCGTATTATTGAACATTTTGCCATGTTCAATGTTCAATGTCGTAAATAGGAACACGCATTACAGTCTTACTCACTGCTGGGGCGCACCAAATGTACCGATGTAGGGCAACACATGGGCCTTCAGCACCCGTCTCTTCCCCTACAGGACGGACAACGCCGTCAATGAATACACCAACGCCAAATCGGCGGCATTCACTTGCACTGATCTCTCCCTCTCCGCCGGTTCTTCATCGATCTTCGTCATAAACTCATCCTAAATTCGACCCCACCCCATTCATCTACTTCAAATTCGTCACGCAAGAAGTCGGCCGTCGTTACCTCCTTGGAACCCTGTTCGAGCGATTGTCCCAGGCCAGAGATCGATCATAGGAAGGGGGCGGCTATGCGCGCTTCTAGACCAGAGATCGGTAGAAAGCGGCGGCTGTGCTCCCAGGTTTAGTCGGCGGCGCTGAACGGTGGCCGGCAGCTCGACGACGGGCAGAGTCTTGACGAGGGAAGCTGCGTAGGTGGACGAGGTTATACGTGAACGGCTGTAGCTAGGGTTTTTCGAAAAAGGATCAGGAGATTAGAGTTTTATAGGTATAACCAAAGGGTATATTTGTCCCTAAAAATTATTTATTATTTAATTATTTCGAATTTCAATTATAAATTTCTAATTCTAATATTATTTTAGAGAAAAAACTGATTAAGTCATATATTGAGAAACTCATTGAGTTTTAGTCATACCTAGAATAAATATCTCATAAATGAAGCACACTATAGTGCACCATATATTGTAAAGGTCTCAAAAGATTTTTTTTTAATTGCAAACATGTGCACGCAATAAACCTATAATTTTTATGTCTCAATCTTCTTACTTTTTAAAGTGCATAATTTATAATAATAATAATAATAATATAATTACTGAGTTATCTCCGACAGAGAGTGGTTAGTCGTATTCAAAATTGGAATAATTATGAGTATTGTTTAATAATGCCATAACACACTTTCACACATTTGCACACCCCCCTGATTTGCCAATTTACCCGGGCAATTCGTATAAAAAATGCTATTCGTATAAATGCATAGCCACCATATTACTCGAGATGTTTATACTTAGACTTATTTCAGTCTCAGACCAAACCAAACATAAACAAACTAGACCAGACAATACTTGGATATTAGAAATAGTAGAAGCACCTATTTGAACATTTTCCCACAAATTTAGATTCAAGTATAATTCAAGAATGACACAACACACTTTCACATATTTTACTTCCTTATTTTACGTATTTAGAGAAACCATTTGTCTAAAAATGCAATTCGTGTAAACTTAGTCATCTTATTACTAAGTCGTTATAAATAACTTACCTTCAATTATTTTTTATAAACCTTTGAAAATGAAAAAAAAAATGGCAACGTCATTTGCGCATCGCAAGGTGAATTACTAACAAAACATTTTACTAAAAGAAATGATTTTGACATAAGTTAATGCGAGTTAAAATGTGTTGGTTCCTAAGCATTCCTATTAAGAACTTCAAATGTTAGCAATCATTGTGGCGCATTGGTTTTGTTGTTGAAATATTTTTTTTAGTCATATTCAACTTTGTGTGGTTCGTTTAATAATAACCAATCAACATTATAGTGCGTGATACATACTATAAAATCTTTATATAGTATATAGTATAACTTTTTAAGTCATATTCAATTAAAATTACAAGTTTAGTTTTAGTTCAAAATAAATTTGATTAAAACTAACTACACCTATGGAATTTCACCAACCGTGGATTGCACGAGCGTTCAACGCATTTCCTCTAAGGTGGAACTCTTTCAATAGTATATGTATTGTGTAGTTATGTACATTTTTTAGGAAAGAAATCACCAAGCATGCAATAGACGATTAGTCAATGAGATACAAATGTGCTATGGTTGTAGATTCATTTATGTGTGTGAGGCTGCTCAACGCATATTTGGGTTTGATATTCAATATAAGACCTCGACAATTGAACGTTTGAGCTCATTTGCCGGAACAACAAAGTGTTGTCTTTCGCGATTAGCCTATGGATTCATTGGTGTGAGTGCTTGACAAAAACTATTAATTCCTAGATTGTCCTTGACGCCATCCAATGCAAGCTTGCCTTTCAAATTTAATAGGCGACAATATCCTGTTATGACTTCATATGCTATGACTATAAATAAAAGTCAAGGTCAATCTTTATCCTGTGTTGGGTTGTTGTTGAAAATCGGTATTTACCCACGGACAGTTATATGACTAATTGTTGATGAAGATGGAGGAACCACTAACAAGACTCAAAATGTTGTATTCAAAGAAGTGTTCAACAATGTTTAGGTTTACATTAAATGCATATTTACAATGTTATGATTTCAATGTATTTGTTAGATGTTTTTTATCTTTTAAGTAATGCTTACTACTCTCATTTTGACCAGAATATTGTAAGTGTGTTTCGTTTAATGCTTTGATATATATATATATATATATATATATATATATATATACACACACACATATATATATACATATATATATATATATATATATATATATATATATATATATCAGTATTACATGAAGGTAGATGTTATCATTAATTGATAGTGCGATTTGATATACTAATCACACGTAAATTTGAAAGAAAAATTCTCAAACCGTGCATCGCACGGGTGAGTTTACTAGTTTGCTTGAAAGCTAAAGTTATATATGGAGCAGTATAATTTAGAAAATAGTAGCCTGTGCGTTCCAATGTTTATTTGCATTCATCTAAATCAGAAGACTCGGATCTCTTATTTTTAATAACCTCCAGTAACCCACAAATCTAACTTTATTTTATGTTAGAACTCAGAGAAACATTAGTCATCTTAGGAACGCCGGAATTCGGAAGTAGTGCAGAATTCAATGGTACTACTACCATACAGAGCCCAAATATTAAACTGATATTGGAGGGGTGAGCCAAGCCCAAGCAGTAGTGCAACGCTCAGGCGACTCGCGTAAGCCCAGACAGCAAGCTGTCTTGATGGACTCTCCCCCTTAAAAAATTGAGTTAATATCGTGTGAGCTAATAGCCCACATATCAGATATTAAACTGATAAGAACAGATACTACACTTGATCTTAGCCAAAAGGCCGAGAAAGGTATGACCGTAATGTTGATCGACCCGCTTTATTTATAATGCCTATGGACCATTTCTTCTTCTATGGAAACGGTGTGGAAACTCACCTCCGTTGAAATCAATAAATGCCCACCTTCAAAGAGTTATATACGTCCACCGTTTTCAAAAATTTTTAATTACTTAGCCACTTGCCAAAGCTATTTGTGCTTTTTTTATTTGGTAATTCCAATTTCTGAAACCAAACTAGAA